TATTAAGTGCCTGCTACACACCAGGCACTGTGCTAAGCACTTAAAAAATATCTGATTTGGTCCTCACAACAACCCTGAGAGGTAGCTGCTGTTTTTAGCATTACCATTGTAAAGTTGAGGAAATGGAGGCAGACAGAGGTTAAGTGACTTGTCCCGGGCCACACAGCTAGTCAGTGGCTGAGACTGGGTTTGAGCTCAGGTCTTCTTGACTGTTTCTTTTTTTTTTTAATTTTTTAAATTTTTTAATTTTTTAATTAATAAATTTATTTATTTTTAATTTTCAACATTTACTTCCACAAGATTTTGAGTTCCAAATTTTCACCCCATCTCACCCCTCCCCCCACCCCAAGATGGCATGCATTCTAAATACCCCTTCCCCTAGTCGTGCTTTTCCTACTATCTCTCCCTCCCCTTCTCTTATCCCTTTCCCCTTCTATTTTCCTGTAGGGCTGGATAGATTTCTGTACACCATTTCCTGTATTTCTTATTTCCCAGTTGCATGTGAAAACATTTTTTTTTAAACATGTGTTTTTAAAACTTTGGGTTCCAAATTTTCTCCCTTCCTCCCTCCCCACCCACCCTCATTGAGAAGGCAAGCAATTCAATACAGGTTAAACGTGTAGTCATGCAAAACACTTCCACAGTAGACATGCTGTGAAAAACTAACTCTATTTCCCTTAATCCTATCCCACCCCACCCCCATTTATTCTATTCTTTCTTTTGACCCTGTCCCTCCTCAGAAGTATTTGCTTCTGATTACCCCCTTTCCCAGGCTGCCCTCCTCTCTATCATCCCCCTACTCTCTTGTCCCCTTCCCCTCCTATTTTCCTGTAGACAGATTTCCATAACCAATTAAGTGTGTATGTTATTCCCTCCTTAAGTCAAATCCTATGAGAATAAGATTCACTCATTCCCTCTCACCTTCCCCCATTTCCCCTCCACTGTAAGAGGCTTTTCTTTTCTGTTTTTTTTTTTGTGAGATAATTTATCCCATTCTACCTTTCCCTTTCTCCTTCTCCTAGTATAATCCTCTCTCACCCCTTAATTTTATTCTCCAGATATGACCCCTTCATCTTCAACTCACCCTGTGCCCTCTATCTATCTATCTATCTATCTATCTATCTATCTATCTATCTATCTATCTATATCTATTTATACGTACATATAATTTTTTCCCTCCAACTACCCTAATACTGACAAAGGTCTCATGAGTTACAAATATCATCTTTCCATGCAGGAATGTAAACAGTTCAACCTTAATAAGTCTCTTATGATTTCTCTTTCCTGTTTATCTCTTCATGTTCCACTTGAGTCTTGTATTGGAAAGTCAAATTTTCTATTCAGCTCTGGTCTTTTCATCAGGAATGCTTGAAAATCCTCTATTTCACTGAATGACCATTTTTTGCCCTGAAGGATTATACTCAGTTTTGCTGGGTAGGTGATTCTTGGTTGTAATCCTATCTCCTTTGCTCTCCAGAATATTATATTCCATGCCCTGAGGTCCCTTAATGTAGAAGCAGCTAAATCTTGTGTTATTCTGATTGTGTTTCCACAATACTTGAATTGTTTCTTTCCGTCTGCTTGCAGTATCTTCTCCATGACCTGGGAGCTCTGGAATTTGGATACAATATTCCTAGGAGTTTTCCTTTGGGGATCTCTTTCAGGAGGAGATTGGTGGATTCTTTCAATTTCTATTTTGCTCTCTGGTTCTAAAATATCAGGGCAGTTTTCCTTGATAATTTTTTGAAAGATGATATCTAGGCTCTTTTTTTGATCATGGCTTTCAGATAGTCCAATAATTTTTAAATTCTCTCTTCTGGATCTATTTTCCAGGTCAGTTGTTTTTCCAATGAGATATTTCACATTGTTTTATAATTTTTCATTCTTTTGGATTTGTTTTATAGCGTCTTGATTTCTCATAAAGTCACTAGCTTCCAATTGCTCTATTCTAATTTTTAAGGAAGTATTTTTTTCAGTAATCTTTTGGACTTCCTTTTCCATTTGTCCAATTTTGCTCTTTAGGGCATTCTTCTCCTCATTGGCTTTTTGGACCTCTTTTGCCATTTGGGTTAGGCTATTTTTTAAGGTGTTATTTTCTTCAGTATTTTTTTTGGGTCTCCTTTAGCAAGCTGTTAACTTGCTTTTCATTATTTTCTTGCATCACTCTCATTTCTCTTCCCAGTTTTTCCTCTACTTCTCTTACTTGCTTCTCAAAATCCCTTTTGAGCTCTTCCAAGGCCTGGGACTGATTCATAATTTTCTTGGAGGCTTTGGATGTAGGTGTTTTGACTTTATTTTCTTCTTCTAGTTGTATGTTTTGATCTTCTTTGTCACCAAAGTAAGATAATATAGTCTGACTCTTTTTGCGCTGCTTACTCATGATCCCAGCCAATTACTTGAGTTTTAAACTCTTTGTTAAGGTAAGGTAAAAGGCTGCTTCCAGTGTGGAGAATGTACTGTCCCAAGCTTCAGGGGTTTGTACAGCTGTTTTCAGAGGTACTTCTAGGGACCTGTAAATTTTCAGTTCTTCCAAGGTGCTATGATAAGAGGCGAGGTATTTCTTTTCTACCGCCACAACAAGCTCCACCATGCCAGCACTCCTCTTTGCCCCAGGATGCCCCTCAGAACTGTGACCCAGATCCAAGCACTGGTAAAGCAAGAGATTCCTGGCTCAGGCCTGGCAAAGAGATCCCTGCAATCCCCCTCTGATCAGCCACTGGATTCCCCCTCAGTCTGTGGGCTGGAAGCTCAAGAGGCAGCCGTGGCCCTGGGGGCAGCTGAGACCTAGCTTCTTCTCTCACTGCAGTCACAGACTTTTCCCACTGACCTTCTAAGTTGTCTTTGGCATTCAGGGGTTGGGAAGTCTGGAAACCGCCACAGCTGCCCGCGATTCAGTCCTCTGAGGCCTGCTCCAGGTTCACTGTGGCCTGAGCGCCCGCACCGACCTGCGCTCCTCTCCCCGCCTGGTGCGATATGCCTTTCTGATCAACCATCCAGGTTGTCTTGGGCTGGAAATTTGTTTTACTCTGTTTTTTTGTGGGTTATGCTGCTTTAGAATTTGTTTAGAACCATTTTTTATAGGTATTTGGAGGGGTTTGGGGAGAGAGCTCAAGCAAGTCACTGCTTTCCCTCCGCCATCTTGGCTCCGCCCCCTTCTTGACTGTTTTAAGGACTTTACAAATATTACCTCATTTGATCCTCACAACAACCCTGGGAGGTAAGTACTATTATTATCCCCTTTTTACAGTTGAGGAAACTGAGGCAGAAGTTAGGTCTGAGGCCTCAGGTCACATATGGAGCAAGTGTCTGTGACTGGATTTGAACTTAGGTCTTCCTGACTCCAGGCCCAGTGTTCTTTCTCATAATTATTACTGACACAATGCCCTAATTACCCGGCATGCCATCACAGAGGTTACTGGCCACCTTTTCTGCATAGGTGATCAGGGACTTCCGGTGCACATTGCACACTTAAAAGGGGATGGATCTACATGGAGGGTTTGGGTGGGACGCTGGGACTCCTGGAGGGCCCAGTCTAGCTGGGGCCTGCAGACACAGGAGGCATACCGCAGAAGCCACGTGCTGAGCTGTGGGTGGGTGGCCTTGTCGTCTACACTGCTGAAGGTCAGAACATGGCCCTGCTCACCTCAGAGGTCCCCAAGGGTTGGGTCTGGCCAGATCCTCTGAGGAAAGATTGTCTTCCTTCTTTCCCCAAAGTGGGCCATTGTGGGGTTTCCGAGTTGTGGGGATTCAGAAGTCTCTAGAGCACAAATTCCTAACCTTTTGTTGTGTGCTGGCCCCTTTTCACAGTCTCATGAAGCTGATGGACCCTTTCTCAGAATCATGTTTTTATTTTTTATTTTATTTTATTTTTTTGGTTTTTAGGCAATTGGGGTTAAGTGACTTGCCTAGGGTCACACAGCTAGTAAGTGTCAAGTGTTTGGTCTGAGGCCGGATTTGAACTCAGGTCTTCCTGACTTCCGGGCTGGTGCTCTATTCACTGTGCCACCTAGCTGCCCTAGAATCATGTTTTTAAATAATTTCGGTTAAAAGGTTGTGAAAATAAAGATGTAATTTTTTTCCCATCCATATTCACAGAATCCCCTTAAATTTGTCCCAGATTAAGAACCCTTGCTTTATGACATCAGTTCTCAAAGTATGGTCTGAGGAAATTGAGGGGTCTCCCAAAACCGGGGTGGGGAACCTGCGGCCTTAAGGCCACGTGTGGCCTTCTAGGTCCTTAAATGCGGCCTTTTGACTAAATCCTAAAGGATCTGTTCTGTAAAATTTGGATTCAGTCAAAAGGCCACACTTAAGGACCTAGAAAGCCACATGTGGCCTTAAGGCCGCAGGTTCCGCACCCCTCCCCAAGACCTTTTCAGATATCCCCAAGGTTAAAACTTTTCATAATAATACTAAGATGTTTTTATTTCTAATACCATAAATTTAGACACAACTCATGTAAACAAAAGCTCTTTGGCGGGGGTGATATTCTCAGTAATTTTTAAGAGTATAAAAGATGGATAAATGATACAAAAAAAGTTTGAGAATCACTCTTTGAGGGTCTTCTTTACAGAAGGGCATGAGTATGGAATATCGTGTCCTATTAGACAAGGTTTACTGAACTCTTTTTTTTCATCTTCTAAAAATCTTTGGTATAAGTAACAGGCAGTTAGATAAAGAAGAGCAAGGAGGGATATGTTTGCAAATGAAGGTGATGTAAAAAAATAAAAGGTCATCAATAACATTTTTTAAGCCTGGGAGGATGCTGCTGAATTAACTCGAGAGCCTGACCCTGAGGATTCCACGTGTCCAGAAGCTTGAGGAAAAGAGAATTCACAACTGGGGTTCTCTTGAATCGATCCAAAAGCATTTATTAAGTACCTACTGTGTGCGTGGTGCTGTGCTAAGTGCTGGGGGTGCAAAGAAAAGTTTCAAACAGTCCCTGCCCTCAGGGAGCTCCCATTCTAATCAATGTCATTCTTTTGTCTCCCTCCTTGCAGGAAGAACCAGCCTAAGTCCCACCAAGCAGGACAAATGTGTGATTTTATGAGTCTGGTGACCGGCAGCTTGGGTGGGACCCACAGTTGGCCCAAGACTTCTCATGCTCCGCTAACCCCCAACAACTGCCTTGAAAAAGGACCCAGATGGACCCCTTGGGAGCTGGCCCATTCCCTCTGGTCAGCAGCCTCTGCCTGCTGGGCCCCTGTCCTCTGTCTTGGCTGGCCTCCTGAATGCCGGCCACAAGTCCTGGACAAAATCAGTTCCCCAGCTGTGCTGGATGAAATCAGCTCCATGTTTACATTTAGTGGGAGTGGGGAGGGACACCCCTACCTTTGTGCCTCAACTTGACGGGAACCAAGGAATTCTACTAGCCTTAGCTGTTGTCTTTTCCCCCCTTTTCTACTTGTTGCTGGTGATTCTGGGCCCTTGGGGCACGCCAGGAATCAGGCACGACTTAAACCAGGAAAGCCGGAACAACAGAGGCAGTATCACGTCATGGAGGAGAGGAGGGAGTAGGGGTGGGGCGGGAATTGGGAGGTCAGAACTTCTAGTACTGGAAGGAGTATCCTGTGGTAGAGAGGTCAGACTTGTCTGCTCAACCTCGGAGAAGCAGTGGGCACATGTTACAGACAAGGAGATTCAGGCTTGATGTCTGGGAAGACAAAGTGGAATGGGCCGCCTTGGGAGGAAGGGAGTCTCCCTTCGCTGGACATATAAAAGGGAGAGCTAGAAATGGATGTTACAGAGGGCAGGGCAGACTGGGTGCCTCTGAGGGGAGAAGCAGGGGTGAAGGAGAAAGGCATACGCATCAGGGTCACCGATTTCTAGTCCTCGGTTCATGGAGAAATGTTGATTTTCTATACCACCACATTTCAGCGTAATTGGTGTCCTTTGTCATCCTATGGATTTTTTAACGCATTTAAAAATGTGACTCGGAGAAGGAATCTCTGGGCAGACCAGCTGCCCAGGAGGATGCCCAGGGGGTCCAGGACCCAAAGGAGGTGGGGAGAAGAGTATTGGGTCTGAGCGTCTGAATCCCCCCTCTGCCACCGGCACCTATGTGAGCTTTGGTGATTCAATTTGCCTCAGTTTCTTCATCTATAAAACAGAGCAGTTGGCCTGGTGGCATCAGAGGGCCCTCCCAGCTCTCAATCTGTGATCCTAAGATAGGGAGCGTAAGTGTCGGCCCATTTTACAGATAAGACCAACGTTTGATGGCTGCTGCTGGTTTCCTAGATAGACTCAAGATTAGGTGCCACCCTTCACTTGCTCTCTTTTCCCTTCCCTGGCAAGCTTCTTGAGGTCAGGGCCATTTTAGTTTTGCATTTGTGTCCCCAGCTAGTGCGATGCCTTCTTAATACATATCTGTGGAATGAAATTGAGGCCTTAGAGCAGAGGGGCATTGTGGAGAGTGGGTTCTTGGAGCCAAAGATATCCAGCATCCCACCAGCTCTGGGTTCCAATCTTATCTCTAAAACTGTATTTAAAAAATGGAACTCAGGCTGAGATGGTCTCCCCAAAGCAGTCTGGGCCAATGACGTGCTGCCAGGCTCTGTGTGTGTGTGTGTGTCTGTGTCTGTGTCTGTCTGGTGTTAAGATGAAAAAGGGCCCCAAGGAGACGAGAGATTTGGCGGCTAGACAGCGGAGAAATCTGTAGCTTAGACTGGCTATGTTTCCACTCCGTCCCTGGAGAAATGTGAGTTCCTCTTTCCCTCTAGTTAAAAGCCACCAGGCCTTAGCTGCTCGACCTATGAAGCAAAGGCACCGTGCCTGCCTCATGCCTCCACGTGTGGCCTTACCAGCCGCTTCTACTCCCTCTAGAAAATGAGCCACGTGACTCTGAACTGAGTCAGGAGACCAGAGTCCTAGGATGGCTTCAGATGTTAATGTGCTCTGTGACTTTGGATGAGCAAACTTTGCCACTGCCTCCCTCCTCGCCTTGGGGTCCTCAGTTTCTTCATCTGTAAAATGGGGGTGGAGGTGGTGGTGAATTAGATGATCGTCAGTTCTGATAGTCTCCAGATTTATCAAAATGTCAGATGATGGAAGTCAGGAAGTCCCTGGTCTCCAAGGAAGCGATAAAGAGCTAGGGCCAAAGAGAAGGGAGGCAAGAACCGCACCTTCATGGACATAACCTAGTATGGTAGCCTCTGGTATGGCTCAGAGTCGGAGGACCTGTGTTTGAATCCTGCCTTTGATGTTTACTACCTGTGTGACCTTGGACAAGTCACTACACCTTAGTCTCCTTATGCATAAAACGAGGGCATCTCCTACATGCCGAGGAGACGGAGAACACCAGGCTTGCCTCAGTTGCTCATGGACAGCCAAATTTTTAGCCTTGTTTATCTCTTTGGGAAATACAAGTGGGACAGCCTTGGGGGAGGGTGTTGAGTGAGAGAGGTATCAAATTGAGGTCGGAAGCCAGATCCTCAGAGGTGAGTAAAGAAGACTGGCCTGAACCCAGGCGTCACACCTGCCACCCTGAAGTGGGGACAGTAGGCTGTGCATCTTCAAATTGAGTAAGTTGGAGGGGGGTGGCAAGAGGGAGAAAGAAGAAGGCTTAGAGAGAGGCTGGAAACGATGCAGTGGCCCAGAAAGATGGGAGATTTGTCCTGAAGGTCTTGGAGGCCTCGGGGTGGGGCCCAGCGCTGCCTTCCCTGACTTGTCCCATTGGGTTAGTGAGTTATTGGGGAGGACCCCACAGGAAGGTCCTGGGGATTAAACATCTAACATGTTGCCCCATGAGGGCAGAGGGGGCGTGGAGCCCATCCAAGTGGCTCTTCTGGGGAAGGCTGTTAACCATCAATAGCGGAAGGCAGTCGTGGTCTGATCCTTTAACCCTCTGGAAGCTATTTCCACTTGTTTGCCTAATGTGTGTGTGGGCATTTACCTAAACCTTAAAAAAAGGGAAAGGTAACTGTTCCCAAGGGGGAGTGGTGTTGGCCCTACAGCTGGAATTTGTTTCCCAGAGCAGCTAGGCACCTAGCAGAGTCCCGAAGACAGATGGCCAAGGAGAAGGAAGGTCTGCAGGAGGAAAGACGGGCAAATGATGTGCGCCGAGCACAGCCACCTGGGGAAGCTAAGGGAACTGGAGGAAAGAGGGTATAAAAAGAGGAAGAGGAACTCAGGATGGGGCCCGATCTGCCCCTCCCGTACACATATCCCTAGGCCTGTTCCATGTGTGCATGCATTCATTCATGCATACATGCATGCATACTGCGATTTATATGGAACACATGTAGACATGTATGTTTATGTGTTATATATATGAATATATTCTGCATACATACACAGACATCTGCCTGTGTGTGTGTCTCTTTCTCTCTCTCTCCAAACCTGTGATTTTCTTGTCAAGGAGAACCTAGGAGCCTGGACACTTGACTCATGTCTGCAGACGAGCCATTCTCTGCCACTGAGAGGCTTAGAGGGTGGTCAGGGCCCCTGACAAGTTACAGGCCTGGCCCACAGCCATATTGCTTGTGTGTCCATCTGAGGACTTAGGCCCAGGCCTTTCTTACTCCAAGGACTGCCTTTCCCCCCCTAGGGCACCTACCCCTTTCCTTGCATATATAGTTATTGAATTCAGCTGAAAATGCGTGCAAAGATGGGGAACTAAGGATGTGAAGTGTTGCACATACATTGTTAATGTATTGTTTTTGTTGAACTGTGGGGTTTGGGGGTAATTTTTCTTCTTTAAATCTTTGTTAAAAGGGAATGCTTGATGAGAGGAAGGGGGGAGGGAAATGTGAAGTAAAAAAAAAAGGCATCAATAAAAATACATTTAAAAAAAATAATTGTTTTTTTTGAATGAATGAAAAATTAATCCTAGAACGTGGAAGTGACCTGTCCAGGGTCACATAGGTACTAAATGGCAGATCAGAAGCCAGTGTTCTTTCCAGTGCATCCCACTGCCTTTAATTATCCTGCCTGGGAATTCATGGGAGACACCAGACTTTGAAGGATGGTGTTGCAGAAAGCCCTGTGGACCTGAGCTCCAGTCCTGCCTAGGATTCTACCCATGTGACCTTGGTCCGCTTCTTGGCCTCGGCATGTTCTCCTGTAAAATGGGGCAGTGAGACTGGGTGACCTGGCCCCCTCCCGGCTCCAAACAATTATGAATCTTAAGTACTCTCTGGAAAGAGATTCTTTATTTTCTTCCCACATTTCCAGAATTTTGAAGAGAGAATGTTTGCTTTCCTGTGACTGCCTTGGCCCACAACCAACTGTCCTTACCTTGAGGCAGAGTGGAAAGGCCACTTGGATATGGAGGAAGAGACCTTGGGTTTGCAACCCTGCTCTGTGGCTTGCAACCTGCCAGGTCATAAGGCCTCAGTTTCCTCGTCTGTAAAATGAAAGAGGTGATTACTACGGTTCCTTCCAACTTTCAATGCTGTGATCTCATCCCAGGCAGTCGGGGGGGGGGGTGGGATTTTGACTTGGCCCCGGGAATGCCTCCCCTTGAAGCTGCCTGGAAGGGGCTGATGCCCCCATGTCAGCAGCAAGCACCCTGCTGTGCGTTCTGGCTAGCTCTTCTACCCCTGGAGTCAGGTCCTCCAGCGTCCGCTAATAAGCCTGTTGTATTCTTGTGCACGCTGATGGACGGACATGCTAGCTGCCAGTGGCTTGCTTGATTCCCCCAGCAGTGCCATGAGAGAGGTAGGGGAGATGGGGCTCCCCAGCCCCGGGGCAGGCAGAATGGGAACTTCCCAGGGATTGCCAGTGAGGCTGGAGCTGAGCATACTGGGATGGGGCTTGGTTTAGTCCAGCAAATGTTAAGTGCCTACTGTGTGCCAGGCACTGAGGGCACAACAACGAAATCGTCTGTACCCTCAAGGAGCCTCCTTTCTACTGGATCTATCTCTGTGGGTAGGATCATGGTTTTGGGGCTAGAAGGCACCTTAGGGCTCTTTGGTCCAATCTCCTCGTTTTACAGATGAGGAAACTGAGGCCCAGGGAATAGTGCCCAAAGTCACACGGATAGCAATAATGGAATTGGAGATCAAGGGCTGGAAGGGACCTTGGAGGCCATCTAGTTTCCACACCCCACTCCACCTTACAGGTAAAGAAACAGAGGCCCAAAGCAATGAAGAGATTCACCCAAGCACCAGAGGAAGATTTTGAACCCTGGGCACGGCTCCCTAGCATCTCAAGAAAGTCGCCTCAGCTCCTACCAACCATCGGCCCCCATCCTTGGAGCCCAACTCACCTTCACCCTCCTCGTTGGGCAAAGCGCAAAGAGCCGGCAGGGAGGCCCTGCTCCCATCTGAGCCTCCTCCTTCTCACCAGTCACAACCATTCAGGGACGTGCATACACACACACACACACACACACACACACACACACACACACACACACA